GGAACATAACAGTGTGCCGCTCACTCCAGATTCCTGTCAGGAGCAGGAGGAGGAGATATCCAGGCTTTACGGAGAAAACAACATTGGAATCCCCAGCATGGATTTGAATTAAGGGCACTGGCTATTTAGCTGGCCGGTGGATCACAATTCATGGAAATGTCTCACTCTGCTAAGCCACAAATGGTTTCTCAGCCAGAGATGCAAAGGAAGTATTAGCAGGGTATACCGTGGGACTTTATTATGGCCTGGAGCATTGTTATTTGGAAATATCAGTGTCTCTGCTAAGCTCAGCATGTGAATCAAGGTGCAATATGTTGTTTTTAATGGCTGCAGGATAGGAAGAAAGCTACATGCAAAGCTATGCCTTGCATGGATGTAACAACAAAACCAAGTCTGGTTCCAGTCAAAAAATTAATACAGGATAGGAAGCATTGTAAAGATCCCAAAGGAGAGAAACTGCACACAACATAATTGCGGATCCTACTGTATAGAGGTAGCAATTCTTAAAGGAAACAATAGTGAGCATTATTATAAAGCTGTCTGTGGTTTGGAACCACATGACTTCTCAGAGCATCTCCTCCCCCCACCCCCATGTCATCTGCCCTCACCACCAGATCTTCCTAGGCCAGGCTTCTCTGTTTTGCCACCCTGAGGGAAGCTCTGTAATCTTCTACAAGGGGCGAAGCCTTCTCTGTGGTGGCCCCAACCTTCCTGAACTAGCTGCAGGAGGAGCTACACTGGCTACTTCCCTGTTGCCATTTAGGAGGCAACTCACAATGTTTCTTTTTTCACGGAGGCCTTTCATACTGATGCTGGTTGATGGATTACTTACCTCCTGTCCTGCTATCATTGGGAAATTGTTTATGGCACCATTGGTTTTTAGGCTCTGATGTATTTTAATTGTACTGTTTACTGTTTATATGTTTTAATTTGCTGTTAAACTGCCTAGAATAGTGCTCTTGGACTAATGGGGCAGCATTAACAAGCAAGCAAGCAAACAAACAAACTAGTGGTGGCAATGCTAGGCATGCTCTGCACATGTTCCTAAGGAAATCATAGGAAGTAACACATGGCCAGAGCTACATGAAGGATCCATGCCTAGGCGCCACTGAATTAAAGATGTGGGGGCAACATATTGGCTGTGCTTGGTGAGTGATGTCCTGACTAATATCACCACTCTTTTTGGGTTATTGGTGTTCCTTATGGAGTGGTGGGATGATTTCTGGCCTGATTTTCATTTTAACCTGCTGTGCTGCTCCATATCTGTATCTCCATAGAAAGGAAACCAGTTCATCGGTGGGAGCAGTGGAAGTGGAAGACAGCAGGCCAAGAAAATGGCCATGGCCATAAAGGAATAAGGAATGACCTGTTTGGAAAAGGACACCGAGGAAGGGGTTTGCCAGGAAGGAGGCATTACGATCCCCAAAGTGGTAAACAACATAAGGCCCACCGTGATGTGGGAAGCATCGGAACACCCGCTGATCCAATAATCCGAGACAGCTTTGCCCACTAGAACCATGGAACAGCTTTTATCTCTCAAAAACCAACTGTACATTCGCGGCAGGAAACCCCCAAGGAAACGAGGTTGCCTTTGGGCTGCTCTGGTGTGTCATGTGAAATGCTGATAGCGGATGCTAAGCAACCTTGCTGTACGTCCTTGATGTAGATCTGGCCAAGATGTGATAAGCGGAGGCAGCCAACTAGGCAACGTCTGTCTTGGACACTTCCTTCAGCAGAGACCCTGCTGCTACACAGCATGTGGTTAGGATAATTTTGGGGACTTTTCTCTTTCTTCCCCCAGCCCCTTAAAGCTCTGCAGTGCCCAGTCTGGACAAGTGTCCTGCTGAACTTGAAAGCGTGACTGTTTTTAAGCATTGCAGTGGTCTGATAAAGGTGTTCCCTGCCCTTCTTTTGGGATCTTACAGGGTAAGTCTCTCTTCTTCCCATTTTATAAAGGGACAACCGAGGCTGAGCATGACATGCACAAAACCAAGCAAGAGGACCATGGCAGAGAAGAAATTCTGAGAGTCAAGTCAGAGTTAAGCCTTTTGCCATGTTCCTAGCCTTTTGGGTGCAAGTAATAGAAAACAAGAATCAAAATGGTATAAACACTTCTGGTTGGCTGACTGCAATAGCATAGAAATATAGAAAACATTAGTCCAAGGTTAGGCTACCTGGTGCATTCCAGACCTTTTGGACTGCAACGTCTGTAGTCCTGCCTAGGGTTGTGAAGTCTTAGGCTTAGGCCCTGTGAGTCATGTTTTGAGATTTAGTTGCTGGATCTTGGGCTTTGGCCTTTAAATCTACCAGGAAGCTATGCTGCTGACCTGGCAACCCTGAGCTGTGAGGATTCATCTAAATATCCTGCAAATCACTTAGGAATCCATCAGTAGATCCAGATCACCCTCCTTATGTTTTATCCTCATGCCCCACCAATGGTTTAGAAAATTTCTTTTGGTAATGCCCTTGCTTCCCAATGTCATTTGTAGCCTTCAGCATCCAAGGCTGGGAGGCTAAACTTTGCTAAATAATATTTTAAGGTAAAGGCAAAGGTTCCCCTTGACAATTTGTCTAGTTGTATCTGACTCTAAGGGGTGGTGCACATCCCCGTTTCCAAGCCGTAGAGCCAGTGTTTGTCTGAAGACAGTTTCCGTGGTCATGTGGCCAGTGCGACTAGACACAGATTGCTGTTACGGGATTTGAACCCCAGGTCGTGAGCACAGTTTTAGCTGCAGTACAGCTAAAGTTGGCGAGGAGCTGGGACAAGCAAAGGGGGCTCGCTCCGTCGCGTGGATTCAATCTTACGACTGCTGGTCTTCTGACCTTGCAGCACAGAGGCTTCTGCGGTTTAACCCGCAATGCCACCATGTCCCGATAAAATAATATTTTACTGGATGTTAAATTCATTCTTGCATTCCATTCTCATCATTCTGCAGTTGTTCCTGAAGGATTAAACCTTTCTGACATCACAAGGGCATGCCCAGTTTTGGCCCTGAAATCTCAGGGAATGAAATGCAGCTGATTTGGTGACTCTACTTCTACCCAGCATAGCTGATAGTCAGGGATGGCGGAATATGTAATCTAAATTATCTGGAAGGTGTCAGGATGCTTGTCCCCAGCCTGAAGCTGTGAAAAATGGGTTTGGCCAACAGTTATTAGTGGCAAGCCTCTAAGGTGCACTCTATCTACTACCTAGTGTGTTGTAGTAGATAGATTGAATGCTAGGACTCTGAAGAACAGAGTTCGAATCCCCACTCAGCCACAGAAACTCACTGGGAGTGTGAAGCTGGTCAAGCCTCTCCTTAAATATCTCACTTGCCTTGAAAGTCCTATTGGGCTTGCTATAAGTCAGTTCCAGCTTGGTGCCACAGATCACACACAACAAAGGGGAGGGCTGGAAACTGCATGTCTCTCCAGATGTTTTTTCCAACTGACCTACTTGGCACTCCCATCGGAGCCCACATCACCAGGTAGTATACCTTCGGTGCTGGGGTGGTTGACACAATCGCTCCGAAGTGCCCTCTCCATTCACACACCTTGGTTAATGGGTGAGTAACAAGGCATGAAACAATTGAGAGCAACTGGAGGAAAGCTCCCTTGCTGGATCATTTTCAATCTCTGATGCCTGCTGACATGGACAAGGTGCTGGCATGTTGCAAAGCCACATCTTGTCTTTGGGACCCGTGCCCCTCTTGGCTCCTGAAGTTTGCCAGGGATGTAACAGTGGAATGGGCCACTGAGACTGTAAATTCATCATTGCAAGAGCTTTAGGCCTTCATGCGCAAAAGAAACAATAGTTCATCCCATTCTGGAAAAAAAATCATCTTAGCGTTTGATAATACCTATAGACCTATCACTAATATTCTGTTTACAGGAAACTGGGAGAGAGAGGATTGTGGTGGATAAGTTGCAGGCATCCTTGGAAAATACTGATGGTCTGGACCAAAAAAATCATCTTAGCGTTTGACAATACCTATAGACCTAATATTCTGTTTACAGGAAACTGGTAGAGAGGATTGTGGTGGATAAGTTGCAGACATCCTTGGAAAATACTGATGGTCTGGACCCATTTCATTCATTGTTCAGACTACACCATGAGACTGAGACAGTTCTGGTCACTTGCTCGACAACCTGTTAAGAGAGGCTGACTTAGAGAAGTGTAACCTTGTTGGTCCTCCTTGATCTCTCAGCAGCTTGAATTTGGACAAGATGGAGATCATGATGTTGGGAGGGGAGCCTGGCTGGCTAGGAGGTATTTTGCCTGGTTTGAATAAGGTCACATGCCCTCTGAATGCCCAGGGCTGCAGCTTAGGGGTGCTTCTGAACCTGGCACTATTCAGGGACAAGCCCATTTCTGCCATGGCCAGGTTTGCCTTTTTCCATCTTCAGCACATTGCACAGCTGTGGCCCTTCCTGGACAGAAAATCCCTGACCACACTGGTTTCTGCGCTGGTCATCTCTTGGTTCGATTACAAGAACTGAACCAGCAGCTAGAGGTGTAGAGAGTTCTGTTTTTGGACTACATCTCCCAGAATGCTGTGGACCAAAGAACACAACCCCCCCACACACACACATACATCCACAGCAACTTCTTGTATGCAAAATTTGTGCTTACCATTGAGTAGCGGTTGGAGATCCTGGCTGTCGGGTTCAGGGAGTTGTAGCCCAAAAATGGACCTTTTCTAATCACTAACTCTACTCCTTCCCAAGAGAAACGTGTTAACGCAGAGCTAGAAGAGGTGTAGGAAAGGGGTGTGTGTGTTCATGATTGTGTGTGTATATGTATATGTTTTAGAAGGAATAAAACAGTACCAGGCAGAAAAAAACCAGTACACAGGGTCTCTCCTCGACTGCCATTGCTCAACAGCTCATTAAGCTTTCTCTCCCTGGGGCAGATGAGCACCGGATGTGGGCCACCGGTTTGAGGTTTGACAAGAAAAGGAAAAGGAAAAAAAAAGCACAGATGAATACGAATGTTTCCTCTTGAAAACAGATCAGCTTCCTCTGTTCTCTGCTGACGCAGATAGGAACAGAGGCGATTGTTAGTGCCATGCTGGGTTGGCAAGATGAACAGGTCCTTTTCGGAAAGAGATGCCATCTCTGCAAGCAGGTCTTCCTAGGACCCTCGGCGCTCTGCAGAGAGCTGGGTAAGTAACGGTCCCTGATGAGTCAAAGCATGGCCTGCTGTTGTTTACCGAAACACTGGCTTTGCGAACTGGGATGGGGCCCCTTAAATTTGATAGCACAAGGAGGCAGGAGCTGTGCGGAGCGGGTCTGGAGTCATAACAGCTGGAAATATGAGAAGAAAACATGAAAGGTGAGGTCAAATAGGATGGGTTTGGGGGTCCAGGGTGGGCAGTTTTCAGGGTAGTAGGACCAGGTTTGTTTGCTTTCACTAGAATGCTGAAATCCATTAAAAAGAACCTAGTGCAACGTAGTGATCCCGGTAGTGAGTGAACATGTGCTAAAAATGAAGAAACTAGCTGCTTCCCAGGGATTTGGTATCAGATCCAAGACCTTCCATAAGTTCCATTAAAAAAATCTACTCCAGATTCCCCCCTTCTCTGATACTCTTTTTCAACTCCTTAATGTGTGTGTGTGGCAAGGAAGCTTTTTAGCTGTTGATCTTGATAGACAATTAGGAGTTAGACGCCTTGGTGGTCCACCCAGAGGGATCATTTGACAGATCAGAATCAACCTCCAGTGTGATCTTCTAACTCTTAGGTTCCATTAGTTGCCTTTTCCAGTGGCCCTAAGAGAGGATAGTTGACCAGCAACCACAAAGTTTCCTTCCTAAGTGGCAAGTGAGGTGTGTCTCCAGTTTTGATTTTCGGTGGGGGAGATTGTGCTCCATATACTTAGAGGACTGATCTATAATATTCCCAAGGGACCAAATCAGAAAAAGTCCTGAGATCTCAGCTCCACAGTGTATTTTTTTCCCATTCTCTCTTTATCACTAGGTTCTCCTTAGCAATGGACAATGAGAACTCATGGCTGAACCAGGCCTCCTGGGAGCGGAGGCATGCTTGGGCCAAGCAGGGCTGTACACATCACAGCACAACTGCCAAAGCAGAGGGGTCCCCTTCTGGAGCACAGGAGGTGTGTGATCTGCAGCTTCCATTCTTGGAGAATGGTCTCTTCCAAGGTGGGGCATCTGCATGTAAACATGGATTTTTTTTACTTCCCCCACAGCCTTATTAATATGTGTCGTAATGTATATCCCCACACTGTTATGTTACAGAAGTAATTAGTTGGAGCAAAAGTCCAAAAATCTCCCCAAATAAAAAGTTAGCAATATAGTTACAATTGTCCCTATCCTGTAGTCTGAAAAGCGTGCTAAAGGATGCCCATCTTTTTTTTTTTTTACAACAGTAGGGCAATTTCTAGCACCGCCCGGAGGGTCACCTGCTCCCCATCCTTGACTTAGCCTTTGCTAACCAAGATCTCTGATATGGAACTAGGCATGCAAGTGATATGCTGTCCCCAAACTAGAAAAAAGTTACTTGTATTGGACTACAACCGCCAGACTCCCCCATTCCAGCACAGCTAGTGGCCATGTTGGGTGGAGGAAATTGGATGATGTACCCTGCAAATGGAGATTTCCTAAGTTTTGGCTCTGTCACTGTGCTATGTGCTTCTCCACGCAGTCGGCTACCCATAGTTTCTCTTAGTTTGTTTTGCTTTCTCCTCTGCTCACTTGCCTCTTTCTCTCTCTCTCTCTCTCTCTCTCTCTCATTATCTCTCTTCCTCTTTCTGTATTGCAACTGTGGGTAAATGGGCAGAGGGGGGATTTTGTTGTGTGTGAAATAACAGTTGTATCACACCATCCAGCCAATGAATAAAAACTGCACTACAGAGAAGCCCGGGTGTTACTTCAAGCAGAAAGTCCACCTTGAAGAAGGGGTCGTTGCATCCTTGTCCTGGGCAGTCCTGTCCAAACGGTTTCTCTGTCTGCATTTCCCCCTTCAGTGAAGGCAGTTGCTTCAGGTAGAGCAGGGAAGCGCCTGGCTTGGTCTGGCCAGGTTAGCCTGCTGGGCTTCATTTGTGAAGGAGGAGAGTATCACTTTCCCAGTATTGAGGCAGGTTTCAACTCCCTGTCCTCTGAACTTATGGATGTGGAAACTGAGAAGGCACCACCTGGTATTCTACCTCAGGTAGCAAAATGCCTCAGTCTGCTCGGAGCCTAATAGATAAGGGCTACTGAGGGAAGGAGGAAAAAAGGGACCAGGCAAAGGGTCAGCATCACTTGCCCAGATGTTGGTTTTCTTCCTTTGGTATGGTGGTGGTGGTGGTCCTTTCCCCATTCATTTCTTTCCCCCTGCCACTCCTCCTCTCTAGGTGCTTTTTATCAATTGTTCAGCCAAAGCCTAGGAGAATCCCAAATGGGGGAGAGTTGGAGGAGAGACCAGTGGATGGAAAAGGGTTCAGCGTCCTCTTTCTGCTCACTGCTTCTCATGCCCGCACAGAGCATTTCGCATGCCGGCAGCTCACACTGTGTTTTCAGCCTATAAACCTTTGCTTTGCTTTGTGCAAGAGGCTGGGCTTTGCTATTCTAAAAAAAAATCCACAATCACTTGTATAAGGGGCAAATGATGCCTCATCTGCTGAGTGAGGAGAAAAGGGGTCCAAAGAAGGAGTCCAGTTCATCTACTGCTCTTAAATTGGCTGGTATCCATTCCTGCAAATGAATGAACAAAGCCAGGCCGGCACCCTTCATGCTTCTGCATATGGAGACTTTTCTGGCTCGTCTTTGAAGACAGAGAAGTGGTAAATCAAAACCTCTTCTCTGCCGTGTAAAGAGTTGCTGTTCCTCTGTCAGGGTTAGAAACGTGATGGTTGTCACACAGTTTGGTCCCACATTGTCGCCTCCTCTTTCACAGCTGGCTGGCAAAAGGTTAACAGGATTGGAGGCTTGGTGTGTAGAGAAAGGGTCTTTATCTCTTCTGCCTTGCCTGATGGGAATCATGCCCTCACCTCATGGGTGCTGTGTGCAATGAGAAGAAAGCCCCCATTGGTGCTCATGGGAATTTCTTACCATTGAAAAGCCTTTAGGTCAATGGGAAGTGAGGGCCTGGCAGTAATTTATCCAGGAGAAGCAGCAGTTCAGGGCGAGGGATGCTCAACCCTTCCCTACACCATTCTCCCACAATCTCCCTCACTTGTCTACTTGTCCCTACAACACAGAAAACATACATCTTAACATTTCAGGCTGAGGAAAAGCTGCTGGAAGGAAGGACATATAAGCGGCTGGCAACAGGCAGAGGAAGGATTTAGCATTTCTTCCCAATATCTCCCACATCTTCCTTGAACATTGCATCTTTACGTCTCAATGATGCAGCTGCTTAGCAGCAACCAGGTTGATGCATTAGCTACCATTCTAATAAATTAAAGAACTGTTTTTCTGCTTATTGAAAATTGGGCAAACAACATTTCAAGTGTACATTTGGTATTATGCTCTTCTTGTTCCATTGAAAACTTAACTTCTTTCCGTATATTATTGTTGTATATTGAATACTATAGAGCAGGCTGGATAGCACAGTGATTTAAGTATTTGGCTGCCATCAAGTCAGAACTGACTTGATGGTAGATTATTTTTAATATTATTTAAAAATACCAAATAGAGTCAATCAAGATCATAAAAATATTGACTGGTATTACATAACAGATACAAGTTTGAACCAAAAATTTAAGTATCTGTTAAATATGGGCATAGTACATATGCTGCTGCTGCTGCTGCTGCTGTTTAACATGGAAAGGAACTCCAGCAGCCAGAGAGGGATTTTTTTAAAAAAAATTTCATTCCTTCTTTTACCTCATATTCATGTTCAACCTGTTATTTTTCTTGCAAATACCATCATAGGTGTACAAATCTGTCACCTCTGGTGGAGGCACCAGCATGTATCATCTCAGCAAGGATTTCCTGGCAACTGCCATTTTCTTTTCCCAGAAAAAAAAGTTCCTCACTTATAGCTTTCTAAGGAATTCTGAGGCAAAGGGCTGCCATCACAAGACTGGTCACTGGCCATGTGACATACTTTTCTGCAGGGCGCTCCCATAGGAAAGGCAGATCAGCCCAGTCACCTCTCTGAGTCTTTCACGGTAGTATAGGATAAACCCTCAAAAGAAGGCTGAAATTAAAATGGTCTCTTTTTTTGGTTCCAAACAGAGACCTCATCTGATAAGATTGAAAGCTGGCTGGCAGAATGCAGGTGAGTCCATTTGGTGGAAGTCATGAATCATGTAGGCATGGTGTGTTAGTGTAGACCAATCTGGGTATTTATGGCAGTCCTAAAACTGCTCAACTGTTAAAATGGACATTACGACATTGGCTGGAATCCTACCAGTTTTTGTGTAAGATTTGCAACTAATTGATGAGGTGTTGGGTCATATTTTGGTTGTGTAGTCAGGCACATGACAAGACAATTGACTGAGACATGAGCCAGCACCTCATCAATTAGGTGCAATTATCCCTGGGAAGTTATACAAGCCTTACATGAGCATGAATAAGAGGCTTAGTTTCTATAGAATCATAGAAAAGTGAAGTTGGCTGGGAAGCTATACAAGCCTTACATGAGCACAAATGAGAGGCTTAGTTTATATAGAATCATAGAATCATAGAAAAGTGAAGTTGGAAGGGGTCTATAAGGCCATCAAGTTAAACCCCCTGCTCAGTGCAGGAATACAATCAAAGCATATGTGCCAGGTGATTATCTTTCTTGAAGCCCTCCAGTATTGGAGCACTCACCAACTCCAAAGGTAACTGGTTCCACTGTTGTATTGTTCTAACAGGACATTTTTCCTGATATTCAACGGATATCTGGCTTCATTTAACTTGAGCCCATTGTTGCATGCCCTGCACTCTGGGATGATCGAGAACAGATCTTGCCCCTCCTCTGTATGACAGCCTTTCAAATATTTGAAAAGTGCTATCACATTACCCCTCAGTCTTCTTTTCTCAAGGTTAAACATGCCCAGTTCGTTCAAGCCTTTTCTCATAAGGCTTGGCTTCCTGCTCCCTGATCATCCTTGTTGCCCTCCTCTGAACTTGTTCCAATTTGTTAGCATCCTTCTTGAAGTGTGGTGTCCAGAACTGGACACAATACTCAAGGTGAGGCCTAACCATTGCTGAATAGAATATCTCCCATCTTGTAACAGTGCAATTAGTTTCTTTTTCCAGGGTGCACTAATATTTGCATTGTTGAATATTGTCAGACTAATTTTGAACTTCTCTGTGGAGAAGCATTGCACTTGAGAAATTTCCTTATGTACTGTTTAACTAGAGATGGCTCATTTCACGTACTCATATCTGAACCAAGCTCCAGGCAGCTTTGATTCCTAGTAGCTTATACCTAGTATGCAATTCACTGAAAAGGGACTGGAGTGAATTTTTTTAAAAAAAAGGAAGAGGAAGAGAGCAATTTGCCTCTATCAGTGTATTCGAATATAGAGTGGCAAAAAGCAATTTTCCAGTTGAGTATTATGGTTGAGTTAGGGCCTGGTTACATTGACAATATCTCAGAATATGCTGCAGTGTTTACAAAATTAATTTATAGTCATATGGTAGTCATGTGGTTTTAGAATTGCTGTACATGCCTCCTGGGACAACTGCTCATCCATTTGTTCATTTGTTTTAAAAAAGGAGCCAGCACTTAGTGCTTTACGGGCAGTAGTGCTTTTCCCAGCAGCTCTGATGGGTAGAGTCGGCACCGACCAGTCATGCACTTGGGTGGTGGCAGCAGCGGCAGCAGTTGCTGCTCCCGTTCTTTCCCCCACTGGCTCCTCTGGTTGCAGCTGGCTCTTACTACGACGGAGCCCTGCCACACATCCATAGAAAGTGCAGCGGCTGCTGCTGCCACTGCTGCCGCCGCTGTTTGGAGGATCACTGTTGCCTCTGCCACTGCTGCCGCCACCTTGCCTCTGCCTTTCACAACTGGGCCACTTTGGAGGCAATGAGCCAGGAGGTGACGTTGAAACCCAGAACCAAGAGGACTGCTGCAGAGAGAAGGCAAGTGCCCATCTGGCTGAAGTTTATTACTCATTTTTCTTAAAAAGAAATTGCTATCTGCTATAGTACTTTCTCAAATAGTGGGAATTTAAAAAATAACATAACGGCAGGGGCAAGTGAGAGTCAGCCAGTGGGAGGACTACTTAAAATTTAATGCAGAGGTGATCACATGGGAGGAATTAGTTTCAATGAATCAATTCCCCTTCCACATTAATATAAATGGGTCTCTTGCAGAGGAGTAAAAAAAATTCCTGCCTCTCCAAAAACCCAGATTCCCTGTCAATTAATCCAGGCTTGCACATGCATCATTGTATATTCACCCAAATTTAAATTAATCTAAACCACACGAAAACTGAGTCAAATAGAGGGTTTGTGGGGTTTTTTTTTTTAGTAATGGGATCAGCCTCTAAGCAAGGAACGAATCAAAATATGAGACAGATAATATGGACCTATAGATGGTGATGGACCATAAAAGATATGGATTTAAGTCCCATTTACAAGGCAGACTCATTAGGTCAAATGGCGATCAGCTATTTGTTACCAAAAAGTCACCATGGGGGGATTTTCCCTTTAATGTTTATGTGGACCAGGGACTCTCTGAGGGATGTCTAGCATAGTGGGGTGAAAAGCCCCTACCTGAAAAACTCACCACTATGTTTTTTTATGACCACCCAGCCACATACATGTGAAAGGAAAATCTTTTCATGCCTAAACACAGAGGAGTTGATCTGCAGTTGATCACAAAAATCTCCTGTCTTGCTGAGCTATTGTGAAGCTCTGTTATCTGCAAGAAATTAAGGATACAGTTAAATAAGTGACAATTGTGAGTGACTCTGTACTTGGGCAGGATAGAGGAAAGACATATTGTAAAACCCTAACTGTGTGACCTATTCACTGAACAATTATGCAACCATCATCATGCCACAGTCATATACACCAGTGGTTCTTAACATGGGCGATAATGCCCCCCAGGGGGCGATTTCATTTTTCAGAGGGGCGGTAGAACAAAAAGGGGTGGTGTGGGAGCGGTGGAACAGAAGGGGGGCGGTTGGGGGGTGCTGGAGCAAACCTGTGAAGGCAGCCGCAGCCACGGTGCTGCTCATTGAATTAAAAAAAAGAATTTAAAACTGCTACAAGGCAATATACAACCCTAATTTGTTTCTCTGTTTCCTTAATATAAAGTCTACTATCTACAGAATTTCTCTCTAACATTGCTCTGCTTTTTCAAAAAAATTATTTTGAGACTCAAGTGGGTTGCTATCTTGAATTTAGGGTTCAGACAGCAGCAAAATCAACATTCCTTTCCTTTCAAACAAATACTCTATTATTCTAAGATTCTCCGATTCTTAAAATTCTGTTAGGACTTGTAGCTGAAGTGACAAAACCAATTGCTAGCATATTATTGCCAGCAATGGCAATGATATGCCAGCTGACATATTATTGGTCAGTATGAAGACTAAGACTTTTGGTGAAACTAGAATGGGCCATTATTACATAGTCCTGGCTATGTTTTCATCAGGATGTGGCCAGAAGCCATGGAGACATATTGTTTTTAATTGCCACCCTTTAGGCAGATTTAAGTGTCAGAGGTAGTTTGTGGAAGATAAAGTGAAGGTTTTATCAAGCTGCATTTTTCAAGCTTTGGAATACACAGGCTTGTGTCCAGTAAGG